TATTGACACATTTCTTTTCCAGCCTTAGCCTCTGAAATTTATGGATATGGAAATATAATAGCTGAGCATGGTGGGGAGGCACATTACAGCTGCTCAGTGGCCAACCCAACAGGTGAGGATCATCTTTTAAATGCTATTTTATTGTGAAAGGGTAATTCCATTGTTCCATTTGCCCTTGTAACGTCTCAAGCTGTTTTCAGTGGTGTCTCTGGACAGCTGCTGTCATTCACTCAGCCATGTTGTCACTGTAATTATTGATGCAGGCATTTGTGTTTGGTTTCCCAGCAGGTGTGCTGCAGGTCACATGGCAGAGGATTGGCAAAGATGGGCCGATACAGAACCTGGCAACCTACACCCAGCGGTTTGGACAACAAGTCAAAGAGCCTTACCGTGGGAAAGTGAACTTTACAGAAGCGTCCCTCAACTCGACCTCCATCAGTCTGAGCAACGTTTCGTGGCAGGACGAGAGCTGCTACATCTGCACATTTCACGTGTATCCCGATGGCTCCAAACGACAGCAGACTTGTCTCAGCGTGCAAGGTAACGTACACATAGACAGATGGACATAAAATGGAGAGACGCTTTTGGCTTCGCTTTTGGGGAGCCGTCCTGTCGTCCATCTTTATCCGTCATACTTCAGGTGTAACCAATTTAAGTGGTCGCAGTGTAAAGTTTGACATTCAGTGATTGTATAGTCTTTGTCATAAAAAAACCTGACAAAGAAGAGTTTAATTCTTCACTCAGGAATATCCTCGGTGGACACGGCATATGTTTCCAGAAATGCATCTGAGGGAGACGACGTGGAGGTCGAGTTCAGCTGCTCTGCCACAGGTAAACCAGCTCCGACCATTGAATGGGACGTTTCACCCGGTGCTGCCCACGTGTACCAATCACAGACTGAGACAGTAACAGACAGTGACCACACGTTCACCAGCAGCCACAACATCACTCTGCAAGTACCTGCGAGCTGGAGTGGACACGTGGACTGTCTGCTGAACAGAGGACAGAGGGGGCAGAGGCGGGAGAGGATCCCCTTCACTGTTGGTCCTCAGCATCCGAAGAAAAAGAATGGTAATGATGACAACGATACATCAAGTAAATAAATCAAACTTATCGACTAGTAATTTTAACATCTTTCACTTTAGAGGCGACCAAACTCCACATACATCATTATTAAGTCTAGTCAATCAATGTCTCATTGCTCAGTGAACAATGGAGGAATAGGAAAAACCCTTAACTCCATTTTCAGTTACCGTGACCTTAAAGAACAAGGAACTGATTGTATTCTCTGTGAAACTCTGAAAGTCCCATGAATCAAGTTTCTTTGGTACAAATGTAGCCTGCAGAGTCAGGTGTGCAGTGACTCATTAAATCATTAAGTGTCACTTTCACTTCTGACTTAGTTTCATTATTGAGAAAGAAATGGTTCAATAACCTCTGTTGAGAAACATGAGCACTCAGGGAAGAAGGCTGAAATGAGAATTTCCCTCCAGCTTGTTTTCAAGAAATGTATCTTCTCATTAAAGAGAACCTGAGTAACCTCCTGCTGTTTTTCTCTCTCCCGTCGCTCGCAGGCATAATCCCTGCTCTTTGGATTTGCTCCATCATTGCTGTTGTTGTTGTTGTTGTTGTCATCATAATGAGAAAAAGGTGAGGTTTTAAACCATGTGTTTCTTTTTTTGCAAAAATGTGATCTCAGTTGTATAATATTATTGAGCACACAGCACAATAAAGTCTGTTCTTCTCTCTGCCACCCAGGTTGATGCATAAAGGAAGAAACCAGACTTTGAAGAAAAAGGAGCATGAGGCAGATTGTGTATGTGGACATTGTCTTTTAGACGTTTAGACGCATCCATGTAGCAAACCAAGAGGTGACTGCCTGTTGAATTGTTATTTATGTTTCACTTCAGGGCTCAGCACTTTCATTTTATGTATGTAGCATGAGACAGAAAGCTTGTTGACGTTGTGTTGAATGTAAAAATATAAGAGAAAAGACTAATGTTTGGAAAAGAAGCCTGAGCTTGTGAATCCTGATTGTATCCACTCCCACTGCAGGCAAAAGTCAGATGTTAGATGTTGATGATGAAGTGAGAGCTGATCAAGATGTTTCCAGAGATAAATTCAGGATGTATTTTATCGTCACGAGTGAACATATGAAAATAACAATGTGATCAGATATCTTAGGACGGATCTTAATACCAGGTCTGAACAGGGCCTACGTGTGTATGATGTGTCTGTGAGGATGCTGGATGTTTGCTCTTAAACTTTACTGTTATTCATGTGTATGCACTATTTGCACTTTGCTTATGTTTTTGATCCATTTGAATTTTGGATTGATGGTTTGGGATCATTATCATTTTTTGTCTTTTGCCTTGGGACCCAAAGTCCATTGAGACACTCCTGAGTAAAGTGAAAGCCTTTGTGAAAAGACAAATATGTAGTTAACTTCAGTACACGTCACTTTCTGCAAGCCTGTGCAATAACAAGTTGCTTCATGCAAATCTAACCTGACCCATCTACTGATAGAAATCAAGAGAGAACTCAGAAATGTCCTGAATCAATCTATATTTGTATGAATCTGTAGAGTTTAAATGAGACATTATATATAACAAAATATATATTTGTTTTAAATATTTATTTTGATTGTTAACTGTATTTTTCTTGTGATCTTGCACAGATCGTCATTTGTGTTATTTCTTACTCACATACCTAGAATGCACATGTATTGTATGGTCGTGATTGTTTATGTGTGTGTGCATTCATATGTAAATGGTCAATTAAAACATTATGCTGTAATGTCTGAACGTGATTTCACTTGTTTGCAGTGTTTTCATCTTTATAAGAAATACGTTTCCTCACACGATGCAACCGTCCAGCAGAAATCTCACTGCAACAAAATCAAACCGGCTTTTGGACAAATAACTATTTTCCAAAAAATAAATACGCAGGAAGAGCAACGAGGACAGAGATGTAGCTGTGGCAGTAAATTATAGCAAGACTGAGATCAGACGTATAATGACATCAGGACTGAAAAAGAGATGGCAGGAAGAATGGGACAGAGGAAAAGAAAGACGGTGAAATGAGATGAAGCCCCAGAGAAACAAAGGAAGAGGTGATAGTATCAAGAATGAGTCACAGGTCTGAAGAGACACTTAACAAGCCGCTGCAAAGAAACAGTTTTAGAGTCTAAGAGAAATACTGCAGAGATGTAGACATGGGACATGTTCGTTCCAGTCCGGTAGGTGGCGGTAATGCACTGATAAGTTATTTGCCAAACAACAGAAGAAGAAGGTGGGCGGAGGCAAAGGTTTGAATCCTCTGAGCGCGAGATGACTCACTTTTGATTTAATTTTCTCGTGGACACTGTGCGACAGAGATGATTCATTGTGGATTTACACGAGCCCTCTTTGCGTTAGGACTCCTCCAGAGAGGTGAGACAAGTTTATTGTGATTCATTTCATTTCTAACTTCTTCATGAAGCTGGAGGAAAACATCGATGACACGTGGATCCACCTGTCACCTGTCTCACCCCTACACTCTAGTTTAGTCCTGAGAAGTGGAGTTCAATATGACGACGTGTTGTGTCTTTAACCGCACAGTCAGTTAAAAATAAAATGAGACAGCTTCCATTGACACGAGGTGATGTTATCTTAAAAATGGCCATAAATGTGTGTGTGTGTGAGAGAGAGAGAGAGAGAATCAGGTTTTATTGCCAAGCACGTTTACACATACAAGGAATTTGATGTGGTTTATTTGTACAAGTATGAAAATATAAAAGTAGGAAACAAATATTAAATATCAAAATACATAAAACTGAGATAAATAAAAAGCTCAGACTAACGCGTTCAGACCCACAGCCTGGCAAACCCCATTGTTCCTACACACACACACACACACACACACACACACACACACGTGCTCTGTTGAAACCAAACATCTACATGTGCAGCTGTCCTCTCCTGTAGGTCTCACATCTGTAATCCAGACTCTGAACACTGTGGACGAGGCAGTGGGAGAAGATGCTCTCCTCAGCTGTCAGATCCTACAGCCTGAAAATGTGGTGCACGTCACATGGCAGAAACAGTCGCTGGATGGGGAGATCAATCTCGCCACCTACARCAATTTCTATCGCTCCARGGTGAWCYCASACTTCASAGGCAAAGTGGAGATGAAAGACGGTGGACTGCTCAACAGCTCCATAGTGATCAAGAATGTGACGGAGGAGGATGAAGGCTTCTACCTCTGTCTCTTCATCGCCAACCCTGCTGGAGCGCTCACTGGCAGAACCTTCCTCAGGGTCTATGGTAAGAACCTGACTGAAAGACCTGTTTAACTCCACATTGGCTTTGTACTTTCTAGAGTGAAATTGTGATAAGACTGGGATTTCACAACTTGACATTGTATGAGGTGAATAAATTCTAGAGAGAGAAATAAGTAACAAACACTAATGAAAGTAAGGAAAGGTATTACCTTTTACAGAGTGGGACATTTCTTTTCTTCCCAGAGCTTCATGAACCAGTTCTACACGTGAGAGAATCAAACTCATCTGATGAGTTCTTCGTTTCCTGCTCCGCCACAGGACGACCTGCTCCAAGCGTCACGCTCAACGTCCCACAACAAGACTTCAGCCTCTCACAGCACAACACTGTCAGTGTCATCAACACTGTCAGTGTCATCAACACAGACGGTACATTCACTGTCACTGCCACAGCCGTGTTGGCAGGTTTTAATGTCACCGGCAAACAGGCTCGATGTGCCGTGCAGGTGCTCTCTAGGCAGAAAGAAGCGTTTGTGCCGATTCCTGACGTGAAACTGATGCTTACCACTGGTGAGAAACATTTCTAAAGCCACACATTCATAGATGATAATTATGTATAGATTCTGATCTTTGTTTTTCTTTGTCCCAGGTTTGGATGAGGGATCTGGATCTGCTAGCAGACGCTTCAGTAAGTTAAGGTTCATGTGGTCACAAGTCAGCTCCTCGGTCGTTGAGTGTAAGATATGAACAATTCTTCCACTTTTTCTCACAGTCGGGATGTTGATTGTAGCAGGGACCTGCCTTTGTGCTGCTTTAGTCTTCACTGTCCTGTTGATACGAAGACAAAGGAGCAGGTACGTCTCTCAACCAGAATCTGTTTTAACCATAGACTGTAATTAAAGATAGATGACTCATCTCCACTTCCTCCCACTATCCAGAAATCAAAATATCTGGGATACGAACGCTGCCGTCTTGTGGGTGTGGGGTCTGATATGTGCTTTCACTTGGTTTGGTCCATGTCTCATCCACTAACATGGAGGATGCAGGGTTATTAACTTATACTGCAGCCAGCCACCAGGGGGCAATTGAGACACTTTGGCTTCACTTTTGGATTGCCGTCCTGTCGTCCATCTTTATATACAGTCTATATCGTCTGTGTTTGAGTCTGTGAGCGTTAATATTCAGCTTTAACTGTTCTTAAATCCTTCAGTCCGTCACACAGAGACATTGAGAAGACTGAGATCCGTCAAACTGCAGACGCTGATACGTGAGTCACTCTTCATATACCCGTCTTCAAACTTTATTTAAACTTGCCTGAACTTCACCAGTGCAGAAGGATTTGTTTGTGCAATATTAGCTGCATAATTAAATATTTTGTTTTTATTTTTAGGGTCCAAGATGTTTCGTCCACAACAGAGATGAGTCAGCTCAGAAAACGGACACCTCCTACAGAATTGGAGCCAAAAAAAGTGTCTTTTAAACCCAAAAGAATTTTATTTGGGTTGTAGGTGGACCTCAGGTCTCCACTGAAAGTCCACTGTTGTCTACTGTATGTGGAGCAGGGGAATCTGGCTCTTCTTCAGCAGATGATGTATAATACAGAATATATAAATATAGTTCATATATATATATATGCATATGCAGCACGCAGAGAAGGGATGCAACACGTTAATGCAGCTACAGAGATTTTGTGTGATTTAATTTTTTTACATTGATTAAAAACAGTGTTTTTTTTTTCTGCATATTTGTTGATCAATTGTATTTTACATTTCAGATTGCACATATCAGCATTTTTGTTATTTATTGCTTACATAGCTAGAATGCACATTTACAGTATGGTTGTGATTGTGTACGTGTGTGTGCAGTGTTGTCATTGCTCTTTTTAAGAAATAAGGATCCTCACATGACGCAACTGAGCAGCAGAAATTTCATTACAACAAAATCAAACTTACAATCTGTAACCCGGGTGTAAAACGTGGTTAGCTGAACCATAAGCTTAACCTGAGAAGGACATTGTTGTTTTCATTAGTTGTTTCATGTGTTAAAATATCTTTAATGTTTTCTGAGTTGCACTTGAAAGCAACACGCTCCAACTGCACTTGAAGGCAGCACTCAGGCAGGTAGCCTTTTAGCAACCAATTAGCATGCACGTTCAGCCTATTGCGTAGGAGTCAAGTTGGTACGCAGTAATTTGTCACTTCCTTATTTGAGTTCGACAGCGAGAAGGCAGCAATCCGCTGAAGCAAAGCGGTAACACACTGATTGTAGTGAAGCCGAGAGGTGAGAGTCCCCGACGGAGCTCAGCACCGGAGCAAAGCGCATCGGTGAGACTGATATTTTCCGCGTGTCTGCTTTCTGTTAGCGGCTGCTGCTCATGTGCTGAACGGGTTAGCGATGTGCAGATATCCTGTGGTGAACCCTTACATTAAGCTCGTTGCTCTGTGAACAACCTTGCACCTTAGCCTGTGCACTTCATAGACTAAATTGCATTATTAGCTGATGAGCATTGTGTTATGTTGGTGCATGTGACTGCAGGCAACACAAAGTACACGTTGATCAGCCATTTGTGTCAATATGTGAGATTAAAGGGAATGTTTTGAGAGTTATGTGTCTAATACTGAATTAAAGAGGGGAATACGTTTATTTTGTAATGTGAAGGAATTTTCTTCTTTCATTTGTGAGTTAGGGTTTAATTTCATGATCCTTATTACAGATTCTCATATTGAATGACTGAATATATTTTGCTCATGATTTAAATCACAAATTCTGAAATGTTATTGTTTTGAATTATTACCCAATGATTCATGTAAGGACACTTGATTTCTTAGATTTGAAGTTATTGAGCTTTAGTGTAATGTAAGGCCAGAATGTTAAAGGTGACGTTGTCATTATACTTCAGTGTTATTGTTGTACAACAATTAGATTGTTTACTTAAAGGCCCTGTTTATCAAATTAAACAGGTCAGGTCTTTTGGAGACCCCTAGACTCCATAGGAACATCCAGTCGGTTGAAGAGGATCCAGAGCCCTGGATGGAGTGATTCGGGATCATTCTGTGATTCATAGATGGTGAGCCTCCCAAAGATCCTAAAGAAACTGGATTGACTCTTTGTCACTAACTCCAATTGGTGGTAGGGCCAACCTGGATAGCAGGAGTACTACACACTCAAAAGAGTTAGCACTTTCTAATCACCCTATTAGAGGAACACTTGGAAAAAACACAAACAAAACAGTACCGGTACTAAGGAAAAACAAGACTCATTATTTTAAAGGTGCCATTTTATTCTCTTTATTATTTTTCATATCACTGTTTATATAAATGTTTTAAACTTTTGTTATACATTACTCACTAAAAGAGTTTACGTTTGCAATTTACTTTGTGGTTGGTGTTGTTCATTGTTCGGCTGTTCAGGTCTATGGTAATTGAGCTCTTTCCGAACCTAGCCATTCAGTGTATCTACTGTAAGTGGGTTACATATCAAAACTGGCTTTTGGACAAATATATATTTTCTAAAAAAAGAAAGAAAAGTGAAGGTTTTTATCAGAAAGACCTGAGACCAGGTTAAAAATGTAATGTGGGAAATCAAATTGAACAGATCACTGGAGAAATCAAACCGTTTAGCCACACAGCTGCTCTATAAACAAACTAAAACAAGTCCAGGTGTCACCCACTGACTGGCTCCACAGTAAAGGCCTCATCACAGTAAGTCTATTTCTTTTAGCAAAACAACACAAAGCACAAATAGACTCACATCACAAAGAAATAGAAATAAAGTGATTTACAACACCTGGGGTTATAAATAGTTCTACAAAGTTTTACATGAGGAAACAAACAGACAATATAAAATATAGACACGATATAGAATACCAACCATGAGACCTGAGGCTGCTCTTTGATTGGTTGTTCCAGACTTTCCTCAGGACCCAACCGTCTGCGCTCTGGACACACCCACTTTGTTTTTTACAGCCAATAAGTATTGATGTGAGTTTTTTAATCTAATGTGATTGGTCGACGTCATATCCACACTTCTGATACCTGATGCCTCTGAGGTTCTTCCCCATAATTCGTTATATCGTTACACACACACACACACACACAGTCTGTCCCTGACTTGGTGAGATGACTCATCCTTCACCAACACGTGTCTTCTTTGTGTTAGCACTCTTCCAAAAAGGTAAGAACAGTGATTATTGCTTTATTAATTTAGCTGAATGTAACTTCTTTGTCTTAATCTGAAAAGACTTCTGTGCGTATCCTTTGTGTTTTTTAAGATAATCTGGCACCGATGAGTGTTTCAACCATAGACTGCAAATAAAATGGTTTTAACCCACAGTTAATATTACATCGAGCTAAAGAAAATACAAAGCTGAGACTTCTCTGTTCAGACCAAGAGCACGGGGAACATCCTCTTTGTTACTCTACGTGGTCCAAATAAGTACTTGAGTAAAAGTAAAAAGGGTCTCATAAAATATTACTCATGTGCTGAGTACCTTTATTAGAATGTATTGTGATCAAACTGAATAGTTGGAGGTTATAACAATTTAAAGTGCACTTTGATTGTAATTACTAAAGTGACATATTTAAAACTAGGCCAAAATACACACTGTTAAGCAGTTTGCTTTCAAACACCAAGAACAAACCTTCACTGAATCCTGAAGACTTGGATGCAGTCTGCATTCTGTGAGTTTCCAAATCAAACTGAAATTTAACTTAAAATATATTTTTTTACCTGATTAACGCAAGATAGGAAGATGCAAACATTCAAAAATTCTAAATAATGTTCTAATAAGTGAAACAAATCAATTGTATGTTATCCATCTTCAGAACTAGGTCGTAAGATAAACAGGTGAAGAGGTCACACATAGGCACATGGTGTTGTTTCAGTGCAACTGTCCTCTCCTGTAGGTTTCACATCTGTAATCCAGACTCTGAACACTGTGGACGAGGCAGTGGGAGAAGATGCTCTCCTCAGCTGTCAGATCCTACAGCCTGAAAATGTGGTGCACGTCACATGGCAGAAACAGTCGCTGGATGGGGAGATCAATCTCGCCACCTACAACAATTTCTATCGCTCCAAGGTGAACCCAGACTTCACAGGCAAAGTGGAGATGAAAGACGGTGGACTGCTCAACAGCTCCATAGTGATCAAGAATGTGACGGAGGAGGATGAAGGCTTCTACCTCTGTCTCTTCATCGCCAACCCTGCTGGAGCGCTCACTGGCAGAACCTTCCTCAGGGTCTATGGTGAGAACCTGACTGAAAGACCTGTTTAACTCCACATTGGCTTTGTACTTTCTAGAATGAAATTGTAATAAGACTGGGATTTCACAACTTGACATTGTATGAGGTGAATACATTCTAGAGAGAGAAATAAGTAACAAACACTAATGAAAGTAAGGAAAGGTATTACCTTTTACAGAGTGGGACATTTCTTTTCTTCCCAGAGCTTCATGAACCAGTTCTACACGTGAGAGAATCAAACTCATCTGACGAGTTCTTCGTTTCCTGCTCCGTCACAGGACGACCTGCTCCAAGCGTCACGCTCAACGTCCCACAACAAGACTTCAGCCTCTCACAGCACAACACTGTCAGTGTCATCAACACAGAAGGTACATTCACTGTCACTGCCACAGCCGTGTTGGCAGGTTGTAATGTCACCGGCAAACAGGCTCGATGTGCCGTGCAGGTGCTCTCTAGGCAGAAAGAAGTGTTTGTGCCGATTCCTGACGTGAAACTGACGACTACCACTGGTGAGAAACATTTCTAAAGCCAAACATTCATAGATGATAATTATGTATAGATTCTGATCTTTGTTTTTCTTTGTCCCAGGTTTGGATGAGGGATCTGGATCTGCTAGCAGATGCTTCGGACTTTTTCCCACAGTCGGGATGTTGATTGTAGCAGTTACCTGCCTTTGTGCTGCTTTAGTCTTCATTGTCCTGTTGATACGAAGACAAAGGAGCAGGTACGTCTCTCAACCAGAATCTGTTATAACCACAGACTGTAAATAAAGATAGATGACTCGTCTCCACTTCCTCCCGCTATCCAGAAACCAAAATATCTGGGATACAAACGCTGCCGTCTTGTGGGTGTGGGGTCTGATACAGTATGTGCTTTCACTTGGTTTGGTCCATGTCCCATCCACTAACATGGAGAATGCAGGGTTATTAACTTATACTGCAGCCAGCCACCAGGGGGCGATTGAGACACTTTGGCTTCACTTTTGGATTGCCGTCCTGTCGTCCATCTTTATATACCGTCTACATCGTCTGTGTTTGAGTCTGTGAGCGTTAATATTCAGCTTTAACTGTTCTTAAATCCTTCAGTCCGTCACACAGAGGCATTGAGAAGACTGAGATCCGTCAAACTGCAGACGCTGATACGTGAGTCACTCTTCATATACTCATCTTCAAACTTTATTTAAACTTGCCTGAACTTCACCAGTGCAGAAGGATTTGTTTGTGCAATAATTAAATATTGAGTTTTTATTTTTAGGGTCCAAGACGTTTCGTCCACAACAGAGATGAGTCAGCTCAGAAAACGGACACCTCCTAAAGAAATCCAGCCAAAATAAAACCCTGAGTCGTCTTTAAAAGCCAGAAGACTTAATTTTGACTTGTAGGTGGACCTCAGCTCTCCACTGAAAAACCACTGTTCAGGATTTTTGTGCAGTTGAGTTTGTGTGTTTCAATTTTAAACGAGGTTCTCTTCATTTTTAGTGTGTTCTGGTGTGTATAAGTATTTGTGCAATTTACTTATATTCCTGTGTTTTTTATTTGCAGCTTACTAATTAGTTTCTGTTCATTTTTGGCATTTGTGATTGTGTATATCTTTTTTTATTCTCATACTTATCTATATGGGTTACAAGAAGCGAGAGCAGAGTCAGCGGAGGTCTTGATACGTGTTGTTTTTAGATTGTTCCTGGAAGTTTGTGGCAGCTACTTTAAACCTGTAAAACTAGAAATTCTTATTTTGTTGAACAGTGCCTTGTTTACTTACCCAGGTTTAAAAAGTATTTTGAAACCGTTGTTCTGTGGGGGATGTTTTTCTACTTATTCATTTAATTTTAAGCTTTATCACCGTTATTTGCATTTTTGTGTTGTTTTCTTAAAGAGCTTCTGTATTTTTTCAACTTTAAAAAATAAAATAAATATCGGTTTTATAAGAACATGTAATGTTTCAATTGACGTAAGACCCAGATAATGGACTGTAGGTTGGTGCGAGTGCAACATTTATTGGTATTAAATCTTCAAATAGTGCATCATGAATACTTTTATTAATACATTTATTCCAAACTGTCTAAACTGCAGGTTTCTGCTGCAGCAATTACACAACAAGGCCAGTGGATGTCACTGTATCCTCAGGTTTCATGTGTGAGGCGGTGTCAGACTCTGAGTAGAATCATTCAGCAGGACCACAATAGTCGCTCAGTCTTTTTAAAGCAGGAAACATGGACTGTTCGGCTCCACTTTGACACAACCTGCAGCACAGGCAGCATCTCCAGTCTCTCACCCTGTCCTCTGTCAGCGGGTGAGTTTCATTCCTCAACAGAAAAGTTGACTTTCTTGTAAAGTTTTGAGTTTTCAGCCTCTTATGTGTGAATTTAAACTTGATCCAGGGATGTCACAGTTGTTATGATGGCTACAATCTATGAGGGGAGGTTTTTTAATTGTAAATATGTCTGTTGTGCTCTAAATAATAGCTGTTTAGTTTCCTCTGATGAATTAATCTTCTTTTAAATTAACAAATGTTTCACTGAACTGAACTTATTTAACCTAAATTAAATTGCCACAACCTGTATTCCTTGTTGAGCCTGTTGGATAAACCTCTCTGCAGAGAGAGCATAATTATGATTATTTAATATGGTAGATCTGACGGAAGAGGAAGATTTACATCCACGAAATTGTTGTTGAAAATGTGGGAAAGATCTTTATATTTTTGCTTTTCATTTGTATAAATCTGAATCAACATCGTGGCTTATTGCTGTGTTGGAAACGTAGTTGTGCACATGTGGATTTCGAGCAGATGTTTAGCACTGAAGCTACCAGGTGATTGATGAATAGATCTGATTTCTTGCAGCCAATGTAGCAGCCATCTGTTTGACATCTGTGGAATTATAGTGGAAAAGTCTTTTAAAATGCTGCCCAACAGAAGCGGGCTTCCATGATTGAAGCCAGATGCTTGGCACTGTAAGAGAGCAGAGTCACACCCAGAAACCCTTGAGGTATGGACCTGGTCTGGACTGTGGTCTCGTTGGGTCCGGTCCACTTCACATGCAGACACTGATTTCCGACCAGTTTGAGCTTGCAACCTGTAGTTTCCACATATTTTGGTCAGAGTAGATCAGATCCCAGTGTTGATTTGAAGTAGCATCTTTCTAGATGTTTATAGCCACAGGGTTCAGCTTGTGTTTGCTCTAATTACACCCACACACTCTCAAGCATGCTGTGATACACCTAAATGACTAACATCCCATCATTCTGTCTCCTGGCCATTGTATTGGGTCTTAGGTACCTGTGTTGAAATCACCGGTTGTGTTTCAGCCTAGACTTCACAGCAGCAGCTTGTTTTGCTGCTGCATAATTACAGGTTTATTGCCCAGGCTGTGGATCAAACTCTTCAAATCTCCCGTTAGGCCCCAGGTAATGTTTCCTGAATCAGCAGCTGCTGTTGTTGATGCTGACAACTTTTAACCTCTTATTTATGTTTTTGTGTTTTAAAGAGTGTGATGTTGTGGTGCTGGTGTAATCCTCTGGCTTCATGATTCTCCTTCAGCAGAGCCAATGAGATGCAGCGATAACTGTGGTGACCAGCAACCGCTCAATTAGTCACAACACCTTCTGGCTGACACATCTCGGCCTGTTGCGTCACAGTTCCGCCAGTTTACCGTCCTCACGTTGCCTCGAGCTGTTTCATGTTGAGGTTTCACAGTGAGGTCAGAAGCCGTGGAAGCTCCCTGACAGGGTTTGAGTTGGCAGCTGCAGCCTGGATGTGAGATCCAGCCTCGGTGTGCGATGAGAGGACCTGCGCTCCCTCTGTGTCTGCTGCTCTGCATAGTGGGAGCAGCTGTTCTCAGGACTCATGGTACGTTCCTCAGAGGATGTGTCCCCAAAAAGTCTCAACATGAAGATGGATGGATGGATGGGAAAGAAAGAAAGAAAGAGGGATAGGTGGATAGAAAGGAATGGAAGGAGAAGATGGATAGAGATAAGATGGATAGATAAGATAAGATGGTTGGATGGAAAGATGGATGGATATACATTATTGATCACAAACTGGGAAATTCAGCAGCAAAGTAACAGGCACATAACACATGTAAGATTTAAAAATATAAGACCAAAACTATTCAAAATGTAACAAAACACTTTTTTAAATGTTGAACGTTCCTCCAACTCTTCAGTCACTAACTCATGTTCCACAGGTGAAGTCACAGCCCCAGCCAGCCTGACTGCAGAGGCTGGCCAGCCCCTCCTGCTCAGCTGTAACATCACCACGGCGACCGGCAACACCATCCAGCAGGTCCGCTGGCTCAGCAGGCACGACAAGCTCCTCCTGGCCTACGATCCACGCGTGCCGGTGCGCATCAGCCACCAGGAGCCCAGCGTGCAGCTCACCGGGCACCACCACGATGGCAGCTACATCACCATCACGAGGCTGAGGCACGATGACGAGGGCTGCTACCGCTGCATCTTTGACGTTTTTCCCAAGGGCTCACAAGAGGGCCAGACATGTGTCAAAGTCACTGGTGAGTTTGAGAGGCCTTTGAGTGTTTATTCTGTGCAACTGGCCACAATACACAATTCTTGTTTTTGTTCAGATGCATATTTGAAGATGATAAATTGGTTTCTATGTTGGGATTTTACTAAATTATCTTATCTTTATCTTCCAGGCCGCAGCTCTCAAATGACACTTGAACTTTTGTTCTTTTTATCCATGAAGATACTTTTGAAAATGTGTTTATTTGTAGAAATCACATAATCTTTGTGCAGCTCACAGAAGTTCCCATAGAGGATTTGTTTTGCTTAGAAACTCCCATAATGCTTTGAGTCACTTAAGGTCTGAGTTCTTGGATCAGTAGGGGAGAAAGCCCACCCACCCTGCTGACCTCACTTACCATTCATTATGCACACTCACATTTTTATTGCTGCCTGGCTCCTTCTTGTTAAAACTGTCAGGATTTCATACGTCTGCATTTCCTCTGCCCCAGGTAAAGTGCGGCTGGCGGGCAACAAGACGGCCACAAGCGGAAACCCTATCACCCTCTCCTGCCAGTACAGTCTCCCAGAGAGGGTGCTACAGGTGCTGTGGAGGAAGACGGCCGAGCAGGGCGACACCACCACCGTGGCTGCCTACAGCAAGCCTGGCCAACACAAGGTAGAGGAGCAGTTCAGGGGTCGGGTCAGCCTGAGCCGAACTCTGGACGACACCCAGCTGACCATCCAGCCGGTCAGGACGGAGGACGAGGCCTGCTACACCTGTGAGTTCCACACGTTTCCGGATGGCAGCAGAAGCGCCACAGCCTGCCTCTTTGTTTATGGTGAGCGAGGTGATGGGGAAACTGTTATGAGTTGCAATAATTATTTTGGCAACAAAGGGTAAACATTGAGATTTTTATAAAATGTGTAATTGTGCACAAATGTAAAGGTCTGGTTTAGTTCTGGGGTCACAGCTTGGTTTATTTTTGGTACAATCCTGAGAGTAGAAAACATGATGTTTTGATTCTATCTTTAAAAAACCCACAAACAATAGCTCAAGAAAACAAGAGCTATAATTATATCTCGTAATCATTTGGAATCATTTCCATGTGCAGGTTCTGGAAAATCAGAGCTTGTAAGTTTTGGTTGAGTCCAACGTTCTCCATGACTGGAATCACACGTTTCAGCAACACCGGGGGGGCAATCTCATTTAAAGCTCATTAACTCCATCTGCATCTTATACGTGTATGGCTCCTATCTTTCTCCCTGAGATATTTGATTTATCAATCTGCCCACTCGCTTGCTGTGAATATTCCTCACAATCAGATGATGCTTTCAAATATTGATTGTTTGAGGCCTGGGTTGTGTTTATTACAAATCAGTTTCCTTTTGGCTAAGAGGAAATCTGTGTGTCTGCTAGCGTGCATGTGTGTGGGCGTGCATGCACACATGCATCCCAGATACAGCTCCGGAAAAGGGAAGTGTGTGTATAAACAAACCACAAGCCGCCCCGAGGTGAAAGTTGCTGCAACGGGCCATTAAACTACTGTTCTGACCTGCTATGGCGACAGCCCTCGCCAAACACTTACACTTAGAGACGAGGTGTGACTTCAGGAACAAACATTCCAGGAGTGTGTGTAGTTGTCTTTCTCTATATGTGTTTTTGGTGTGATAGTGTTGACGCAAGGAGGGGAGTCACTGAGGGGAATGGGGTGATTAAATTTGGGTGTAAGCCCGGGGGATGAGTGGCTCACTGTTTCCTTGACACAATGTCTCTCTCTCTCTCTCTCTCTCTCTCTCTCTGTGTGTGTGTGTGTGTGTGTGTGTGTGTGTGTGTGTGTGTGTGTGTGTGTGTGTGTGTGTCCTGTCTCTGCTAGACAAGCTTTTAATTTGTCTCAACTGAGGCAGCCAATGATCCAGACACACAAACTCACAGAGTCGGTAAAAGCTGCTCCGCCGCTGTTCTCTGTCTGGGTTTTGTTTCCAGGACGACTTGTGTCATTGTCAGAGGCAGCGTGCTCTGTCTCTCCAGCACCAGAACGACAGCAGAGGAACAAATCTCTCTCTGTCATCCGTTTTTTGAGTTTGTCAATCAAAGGGCCTCATTGCACGTCAATATCATGAAAACATCTTCTTATATAAATTCTTTCCCTCTCCAGTTTTACCCAAACCAGAGGTGACCCACGTGACCTCGTCATCAGGGATCACCGAGGCCAACTGCACAGCCCAGTCCCGCCCGGCAGCAGATATTATGTGGGACATCGGCGGGGACAACCGAACAATTGGGCCACCCATTTTGTCCGCCTACGACCAGGGTGACGGCACGACGATAGTGACGAGCACGCTTCTCTTCCAGGCAGGGCTGCTCAGTGAGCACTCCGTCAAGTGCATCGTGCAACACCAGGGTCTGGAGAAACCCCTGACGGTGCCCCTCAACACAAAGGGTGAGGAAGTTATAGTGAATCGTAATGAGGTCGTAACTCGCATAGGTGTATTTTTATCCTTTTCATCTTAGCTTTTCATAAGCCACACTAATAAAGGCTTTTTTTATTTTTACACTGCAAGAGTGCCTTGGTTTATTTCCTTTTTTTAAACTAGAAAGGCACTCGGAATTTAATCTGCTCCTAAAGTTAATGGGTTCTTTCTTCCACCAAGTTTCAGTCAAATTGGTTCTGTGATTTTTGCATATTTTTCTGCCGACAGAAAGAAAGACACCAATGAAAACGTAAACTTTTTGGTTTTAAATCAATATTTGTATCATCTCAAGATTTTTTAACATTTAGTTATCACACAAGAAAAATACCAGCCACAAAAAATAAATGTTCCCAAAATACTTTTACTACAGCTCGGAGAAAACAAGGCTTTTGTTTTCTCCATGTACATATTTGCAGCTATTTTAGTTGTGGGGTAATTATGGCTGCTTTGATGGGCTCCTGAATCCTGTAATGTCGCAGCGTACGAGAAGGATACTTTTTTGAGAAATGTTATTCTTAAACCATGTTTAGTCCAGATGTCATACATGTTCTTTGAAGCTTGAGCGGTGCCTTGGAGGAACTTTAAGTGTGTGTTTGTGCGTTGTAGTGAGTCCAGTCGTGGTGATCCTCCTCTCGGTGTGCGGGGTGGTGGCCGTCCTCCTCCTCTGTCTGTGTGTGTGTCTCTGCAAGTGCTTAATCTGCACAGACGGTGAGTGTAAACACATCAGCTCCACCACGTCACATTCACTTCTCTCAAACAACATGCATTTTCTGTCCCTGGCCACATTTGTTAACATGTTACAACCCAGAAAACAAGGTCATGCCTCTCTGGTGGTTGTCCAGAGGTATTTTAGGGAGTGCAGGGAGCTGGTTGAGAAAGAGAGAATTGAAACAACTCCTGTTATGATGTACGTGAAGGCGGATTTCCCACTTTTGGCATGAAGCAAAAACATGGAGTATATTTTGAGATTAGAGTCTTTTCTCCACTCGGGGGGTTAAACAGTCTTCTGATATTCAGTGCTTTGTGTTTTTTTCTTGCGGCCTGTTGTGGCAGCCAAGTTTAAGTACCTCTTGTCATCGCAGTGATTATGATGAAAGTGTTTTCTCCTGGCTGCATGAACAGAAGGCATCCTGGGACTTTTAAAAATGTTTCCTGCTTAAAGCTGCTAATATTCATATTTTTAGATTAACAATGGTTCACATGACAGAGTTAGTCAATTATCAGTCAACTCTGCAGTTCCCTTCGTCTCTATGGAGAATTTCAGCTCATTGTTTTCGTTGTACGGCCTTCAACTCTACTGTGTTCTCGTTGGTCTCTGGGAAAAAACCTTCGGACTGGTGTGAAAGAGGCAACAATTTCCATTGCAACGTCCTCCTGCCGCTAATATGAGCTTGAAGCCTCAGGGCGAGAGGAATCGTAAATTAAATTCTTATTACTGAGAGGTTAGAGGAGCAAGGCTTAGTCACAGTAGATCTCCACATTATTTAGACTTAGATAAGAAGATACTCGACTCTTGCTCCACACTGTGGCTTTCTCTTCAGTGAAGAGCCAATTAGAATTCCCTGAAAGAATAACAACAGTATGAGAAAACAAATAATGTGAAGATGCTTAAAGTGAGAGTGAACGAGTGCCTCACAGTCATCACACACTGATAAGGTCCCCTCACAGCCCCTCTCCACACACTGCTCACTCACGTGTCATCAAAGCTCCGCTGACGCCTTTCCTCGCAATCTTCTCTGGGTGTCACAGAAACGGTGATGGCGGCCAGCGGTGTAAAGTGTGGACCGCTGCCCACTTCCCCCTTATCATAAATTTACCGCCCACCGATGAGAAGCAGGGAAGGTTTGGCTGAGCCCTCTGCCAACGCTGTGGCCGTAAAGAAAGAAAAACAAAAGTGGGCGCTGACGTGTCAAGGTTAGGACGGTCCCATGGCTACTCTCCATTTGGCAACGTAGAATTCAGCCTTCATTTGTAGGAAGTGTTGTCCCATTGAATACGTTTATTTTTTAAATTTCATACCTGTAGGACCTTTCCTTTAAAAGTCTTAAAACTCCAAGAATTCTCAAATGCCTCAAATCCTGATTAATGAGTTTCCTTTACCCTACGGCTCCTCCACGCCCTTGTTTTCTTGCGCGATAAGAATGGTCACATACTCACATTTTCCCGATGCCATCTCTCAACCCTGCTTTCCTCATTGTGTTAAAGTTCCAAAAACAGCTTTCTCCCACATGCTGCACACCACAAAGGCCACAATCATGCAGTTGATTCAGGCGTGCTGGTTGTTTTTTCCCCCCGCACATCTCTAACTCATGAGACGGGGGCAGTCTTGACAATCTCAAACACCATGTTTGCACGTGATTGATAGTGTTGTGTCGGACCAGAGCTTGCTCAAGTATCAGTGGTCAGAGAAGAGAGACGCACTGTGAAAATAGATTTTCCTGTTTTGCCTCTCTCAGGAAATAAGCCTTCTGTTTTCTTGAGACTTTCCTCGTCGTCTGAAAGTCTTCGCCCCGAAGTTCTTTCAGTTTCCAACTCGCTGAGTCCTGAGCTGAATAACAAGTGGTTGTGCTGATTGTCTTGAGTTAGCAGCCGGAAGAAAAGGCCTAATCCTCTGCACTGTGGAGGGAGGCGGACGCATTAAGGGCCTGTGGGGTGGGAGCAGTGACGAGGAGGAACCAGAGGTCAAAGTTGAATACAACTCCCCACACACACTTGACTGTAAAGACACACACGCACTTCCCATATTTCCCGGTCACACAGGCTTCTATTGTGATGTAATTCACAGTTAGGGAATGGGAGATGCGATGCAGCTGTGATGCATCCTTTAGTAAAACTATTTTTCCATTAAAATGTCCTTACTGACATTATCCAAAACGTTAAAGACAATGTTCAAACATAGAGAAACCCCCAATTTTACTCAATGTAACGGGACGTTTGATTTTGCCTTTGAATTGCTATAGTTTTATAGCTTTTCTCAGGATTTTGGGTGAAGTGACCCTTTAAGCCATTGATGCAGGGCAGTACAGTTATGGTATTTCTTCCCTCAAGCAAGAAGTCAGCACATTCTCCCTGAATGAGTGTTGAAGCTGAAAGTAAAGAAAGTAAAACCAAAGCATGTCTGAGACGTTCAGTTCCACAGAAGCCCACGGTCAGTGGCTCGAAACGTAGTTAAAGGTGCAGAGCGTTTCGGTGGAACAAGTAGCCACCCACAAAATAGCTCTCGTGGCTTTCCTCTGAACTTGTGGGTGTAGTTCAGCCTCTGCCTGCTTCAGTCATAGTTTGGGAAGTAGCGCAGAAGGGCCTGAGGTTCTTCCAGTAAACTACCACTGGAGTATTTGTGTCTGCGTTTCTGTGATCTTTGGCGTGGCTGCGAGGCGATGTCCAGACTGCAAGGTGCTGCGTTGGCACAGCTTTAATGTTTTCCAGGGCACCTTTCAACCCGTGGCACCACAGGAAGTGCTGAGGGAGGTAAAGCATCCGGTCTGGCACACAAACACGGTCTAAAAACAGTGATTGCTGCTAAGAGATTAGAGGGAGGAAAACAGAACAGAAGGTGACACCTGCTGGTCACTACACTTTAAATAAAAATCCTGTTTAACCTTAAAACTCATCTTGTTTTTCTTTAATCTGCAGCGTTGAATGATATGTCTCTCCTGCTCTGATTGGCTCGTGAGGCTACATGTGTCCATTCAGCATTAACTCTGCAGAGCACCTCGAAATAACTCACATTGCTGCCATATGCACACGGAGGTGTGAAAGGCACTTAATCATAGCCGTAGAATTCCTGCTTTACTGTCAGGTACATGTGCTCTTTTTCAGATCTGAGCGGGGTGTTGTGGGTTTCTGTGACTTTAGACTATTCTCAAAATAAACCTTTGTCCCCCTGTATAAAAGTTTGATTGATCTCCTCCATGTACCAAAACAGGATTTGATGCTTTCATCACCTGATTGATGGATTTACCAAAAACCTGTGAAAGTGCTCGTTCTTTTACTGATGAAATCTCAGCAACGAAAGCATCCCAGACTGAACAGTATCCAGTGCTCCTGAGACAAAAAGTGCTGACCCACTAACTGTGTGTTCCGTCCCCCCCCTCTTTGTGTCCAGACTGATTTGCACCGCTGCTTTGATGAAGGTCCAGCAGAGCTCTGAGTCTGACCTAGCTGCTCAGCGCTGTGCCGTCCGACTCAGCGCGCACAGGACGGGAACAAAGCTTTTTTCTGGGACAACCCTGCTGGCTCACTGCTAGACACAAAGGAAACAGAACTAAAACCACCTTGTTTAACACTAGATTTTACACTTATGGTAGAAAAGCTGCTATAATTATTGACAAAATCACTGTGATCAGAAAAGAGTTGGGGTCAAATGAAGCTTTCTAACCTTAAAGATGTTTCAGTGTGAGGTTAGATCAGTTCTGCTGTGTTAAATGGAGTGATATGTTATATATTTTTTTACATACAGGTTGTATATAGATAGATTTTTGTTCGCTTCTGCTCTTAGTTTGAAGTATTCTGACTGAAATATTAATATAATCTAAATAATCTGTGTGACTGTTTTTTTCTGACCACAGCTGCCTCATATCTCCTCCGATATAAAAGTTTATAAAACTGTAAAAGACTTCAACACAGTAAGATATAAGCAAGTACCTGATTTTAATAAAGGTCTGAAATCCACAGGAAGGGAAGTGTGATGTGATCTTGCGTTCTTTATTTCCAGTTAAATATATGTGCAACACTGATGCCTAAAAAGGCCTCGATAGGATTGATTAAAAAGCAAACACAATTTATCGACACTTTTCCACTGTGGACCTCCAAAATGTCCACAAATGTTTTCACTTTGTAAATTACAGGAAATCAAAAACAGAGCAGTGGAGCTGAGGCTAAAATCAGTTTGTGTGCGTGTGCGTGTGCATGGATCATTATAAAGTATTTCATGACCTAGTTGTACCATACACGGAAAAATATATTATCACAGACGGGTTTTTTCAATTTGAAGTCAACACTTGTGTTGATGTAGCTTTGTTGAACAAACTTGATGAAGTGGTTGGTTACCAGTTGCTGTATTTTTTCTTAAAAATAAGAAACAATTTTCTTCTTTAAGAAGCAACAGTTTTAGTTTTGCAGGAAAGAGTACAGGGAGTGATTTTGTGGAACTCTTATTCTGATAATTAAACACAGCTATTGGATGTTTACATCTAATCTAATTTCATACTGAAGTCAATGATCTGTAGTTTATCAGAAGGTTTAAATCTGATAAACACCTAAAGTGTTGTTACAGAATTTAGCAAAAAATAATAAAACTGCTGTAGATATGATATTTTTCTAACATTGCCTTGTTCCTCTCTGTTTTATATTTCTGTCTTCATTGATTTTTTTAGCAGTTTTCACTTTCCTGTATCTGTCAGAATTTATTAAAGAGCAGATTAGCTTAATTTGAGTCAAATAAAAAAAAAAAAACTGAGACTTCTGTTTTTATTGCTTATTTTTTTAATCGTCTGTGTTTGTGAGATTAGATCTAAATTATGAGATCAGAAATGCTTAACTATGGGATGGTAAATCAAAATTATGAGATGATAAGAAATAGAAAGTCGTTATCTTTAGATAGTAAGTCATTATTCTGAGTTGGAAAGTTCTTACAGGGCTCCCATAATATTTTTAGATGTTTCACGTACCTCACGACTAAACTCTGGGTGATGGTCGTGTGGAGGCTGTGGGTGGTACATTATAAACCCACCAGAAAATTACACAACAGGAAACTCATTTCCTCCTCAGCCCACGCAAGTGACTTCATGCTTTTACTCTCAGACCCTAGGAGTGGCTTCACAGATTTCTCGTGACATTTTTGAAATGATCTGCCTCGAAATAACTCTAATTAACCTGCAAGGTCAACTTCAGCTATTGCTCAGAGGTTTAAAAACTCAATAAATTGTCCAAAGAAATGTCCACAGTCTTTTCAACATCTCTTTCCAAAACAAATATGTGTTCATTTTTCATTCTTTGGAAGAAACTGATTCATTTCCTTGACTTTTTTTCCCCTAATATTTTGAAATAGTCTGACGTGGTCTATTATTAATTCTCTCCAAACGCCTCTCATGTACGTTTTTGTTTCCACATACGTCCCCGAGACAGGAAAAGGGCCAGTCGTTCCTTTGTTGTGGCATCTGACTGATTTATTCTGATTGTCATGTTATTAAAGCAAATAATTTCCCCATTAATAATAAAACAGAGGCTTATCTGAAGGAAACTCGGTGCCAACATTGAATTAACGAACAATGAAACCAGAAATGTTTATGGAATCACCCTTAAGAGATTTAGGTATTCACCTTATTAAGATTTTTAAATATTTAGCTCTGAAAACAGTTGAATCAACGAAGATAAGGTATCATCTGATCTGATGAAAGTTCAGGATGCTGCTTTGTTTTTACAGCACTCAATGGCAACATCGTGTGATTTGCTTTTAAGGGACTTTCCTCTTGTCCAATTTGGCCTTAGTTCCTCTTTTTGTTCACTATTTATTTACCTCCATTGCACCAAATACCTCAATATACAAATACTTTAGTTTTAGCTAGTTTAGTTTTAGCTTCCTTGATAATAGCTCTGAAGGGGACAATGTGTCTCTACCTGCATGTGTCACATTGTGGTTGGTGGGCGATGCATGCATGTGCAGGTTTGGTGTGAGTTAAACGTGTGTGTGTGTGTGTGTGTGTGTCACATCGTGCAAGCAATGCACCTTGAAGCACTTTTACAACCACAGAAGTATCACATCCCACAGGCCAAAGTGCTTCAAACAGCCGTTAAACGTACGTTCTGCACATTGTACCCAGCGAGTGACACATGTTGTAGCTCGCTTGTCGTCTTTTACTCAGGCCGCAATGAAAAATAAACATCACAGAGATCAATGTGTTTTTTGTCACTGCATCACAAAGTTTCTGAGGTGGTTCCTGGTTTTAAAGGTGCAGAGCGTTTTGGTCTGAACTGAAATGCGTCGAGGGATGATCTTCTTTCCCTGCGTGTCTTTTCCACCTGTATGTCTGCAGGTTAAAGGTGACGTCTTTTTTACCACCTCATCCTACAATAAGCAATGAACCGCTAATTCAGATGCATGTGCGAACATGAATGCATTATACTGAATTTAGTGCAATGTTTTTGTTATATTATGCATGTGTGCGATGTGTAAATCCAAGATAAGCACGTTCGTCAATGTTAAAATGCTAAATCTATAGTCATATTCAATACAAAATTGCTAAACTAGCTCTGTAAACATTAAAGATGATATTTTAAATCAAATATAGCTAAATTGTTACATTAATAGTAGTTGAGACTATATTTTTCTGAAAACAATCTTTAACAGTTGGGTGAGTCTGATGATGAGTCGAGGGGTATATTTTCTAATTTTACATCTTCAACTGTAAAATAACCTCCATCCCTTCCTGTCATAGGTTTTTACATATGGTTAAGTGTGGTTTTATTTCTGCTTCCTGTGGTTTGATTTCTGCTTCCTGTTCATCAGTCGACACGCTGTCTGCTCCCGAATGCACCAGACACCGTGCCCAGAGAAGAAAAGCTTCAGTTCATCATCCACAGAAAAGAACAGAGGTGCAAACACACACAAGCAATCACTGTTAAAAGAGGTATTGGTACCGAATGTGTGCACGTAAATTGAGTCCTGCACAGGAAAGAAAACTATGAACGAGTAAATGTATTACATGCACACACACACACACACACACACACACACACACACACACACACACTAGGTTAAACAATAGTACTTTCTCATATGAGACATTTCACACTTTTACACCAGGAGTCCAAGTGTCAGATTCACCATCATTCATGACAGTGAACAGGCTTTTATGAAGGGGGTTAAAGGAACACAAAGCAAAGTAGGTGTAATTCCATTCTTTAATCAATTACAGTCAATCTAGCAGATTGATTTTGAGACGACTCATTCTCATAGATATTAAGGCTGGCGGCTCAGATCTGGCGTGTTCCTGGATTGTCCTGCACAGTAGAGACCTTGGACAGAAATCAGGTGGGATCAGTTTCTCTTCTCAGAATCATGATAGTAAATATGCAGTGCATTTAATTGTTCTTATTGTATTGTGCCATTTGGAATCTTTCAGGTGAGACCTTATGCTTTCAGTAGGTGGTCTGCAGAGTGCTGGTCACGAGGAATTAACCAATCAAATCAAGTCTCACCTCCACACTGTCTCTTTGGTGCAACGTATATCGCTATGACAATGACGACAAACAGCATGATCCCAGTAACGTAGCACGCTGATGACAAGCCAGTGTTCTGAGCTGTCGGGATTCCTGTCGGACTAGAGAGGACATTTGATTCAGCATCAAAGAAGCATTTAAATAAATACAATGAATTGCATGTGATACAGCATCGAATTAAGCTCTTGCCTGAGAGAGAGAGTCGTCCACCCAACTGTTTTGGCCTTGATATTACCTGAAAAACATTCAGCTTGAGTTTCCTGCATCAGTATAGTCTAGAAATCCTGCAGTGCAGAAAGCATCACTCACCATGGACAGAGACGTTGATGGAGTGACCCACATCATTTCCCACTCGACACCGATACAGACCTGAGTCGCTGCTGAGTATATTTTGGAATTTCAAAAACGATACCCCCTCGGAATGGTTGACCCCTTTCCACTCAGTTTTAATGTGACTGCTACTGCTGACATTGACGTGTTGAGCTGTGTTTTCCTCCAGCTTGTACCAGAGCACTGTTGGTGCTGATTTATTACAGAATTCAACTGTGCAGTTAATGACAAGGTCTTGTCCAAGGGAGATCTCATAGGCTACGTTGCGGCGTACGTTGATTATTGGTGTACAGTCTGATTCTTCACCTGCTGAAGAAAAATGATAATACAAGAGGATTAAAAATATATAAAATGATAGATTCTTACTAACGAATGCTTAATGACAGTTGTTGTGTCGTGGTTGCAGGATCTCCTGCTGCTTTCTTCATATCGAAGAGACAAACTCCTGAAAAAGTGCCGACCCAACTTTCTAGACATTTTCCTTTGTTTGTGTCTTTTTAACATATTATCAACATTATTTTTATCATCCAAAAAGGTTTTTTTTTTTTATTTCCTCTTCTGGACAGTGTCGGTGTGTGTTTGACTGACGGTGACAAACTAAAAAAAAGTGTACCATAGAACCGGCATTTAACCGAACCCATTATGGTTCCAGAAAGGTTTGCGTAGTTTTTAATGTGTTGCATTTAGACCAAAGGACACAGTCATGTTTGTCGGGACAATAGGATGGGGACCTAACGTGGTTGTCTAATTTTATATCTTGTGGTTCTTTGCTGCGCCACTGACAATAGCCTGCAGGAAGCGATTGAGCGGAAACAAGTTTGTTACTGACAAAGATCGAGAAGTAACCGTTGGTTTACGTCTTTTTTAATTGAAAACACAGGGAAAGAGCTTTGTACTGTAAATTAAAAGAGGATGCAATTGGATGTCATCCCCATTTTCACCAGTATACAATTAAAACAATGAATCCAAGAATTATAACTGACTCATATTTGTGATTACGACTCAAACTGAGGGAATGATGTTGAAATGATAAACACCAACTTACTGTCAGCTTCCAACGTGCAGACAAGCATCACCAAGATAAAAACGGGAAGGATGATCAGGCCGTCAGGTCTCATGGTGACAACGCTTCAAGAACCAGATGATCACCTCTATACCTCGAAGTAAATGACACGAGGAAGACTTTGCTTCCTGATTATGATTTCACTGGGGGGCTGCATCTCCACACACACACACACACACACACACTTTTTTCAACCCTGATAGATAAAAAAAAAACTTTCTGCTTCCTCCTTTACAGCAAACGGAGTGAAAGCAAGCGTTGGCCCAACATAATCTCAATTCAAATCAAGCAGTCATGGACACACATTATATTATATGATTGCACAAAAACATCACATTATTACATTCTTCTATTTTGAAGTTACAGAAAGATTACAAAAGCGATTTTTTACATTCATGCAGTCGATATGATACAGGATGCAAACCATTACTGTCTCAGGTGTGATGTCACTCTGAAGAACATTTCAAGTCGTGAGGGTGAAGTCACAGTTTTTAACAAACATCGCAAAGCAGGATCGCAAACAAAAGCACACTAGTTGTAAACAGTTTGTAAAAAAGTCTGTAACAATCCATTTAGTTTGGTAAATCACGCTTTAGCTCTACAGACGCTGAGGACTTCTCATCATGTCTGTGACGTTCAGCCCTCGTTCACTGGCTCCGATTGAAAGTGTTAAATCTTTAAAAACGGGACAAGATTTTAGAAAATGCAGTTTATTTTTTATGAAATGTTTCTATTTCAGAAAAGTGGTCATTGTAGGTTCTGGGCAAAAGTAAGAGTGAATTAGTTGGGGGGTGTTTTCAGTAGCGAATTATCACACATGAATACTTCATACGGAGGTTTGAGTCACAGGTTTGGTTCTTACTCGATCAGTCAACCTTAGTTCTGTAAAATGCTCTCTGGGTATTTCCATAACTTCTTATTTTAAGTTCTTCTAACTTTCTTGATTTGTCAAACTTTCAGCGATACTGAGATGTGAGATGCAGTCGGCAGGAAGAGAAAGAACCTGTGCACATGCTGACATTTCCCTAATTTTTGCTCTCGTGTCGTTCATATTGTACATGAACCAACAACGTTCCCAGAACAGCTCTGACAAACTTCATCTTGAGCAGAGAGAAGACCTGTGCACGTGTAGAGGGGGATAAACCGGCTGCAACAACAACCTTATCCTCGCTGTACGAGGGCCGTTGTAGCTCCTCTGTGATTTACCAGTTTGAAATGTTCCACTAACTTCTGCCAAATTCACTCGAGCACACGTCAGGACTGACATTACACCACATCTCCTGTGGTTGTTGCGTGTTTACATCACACGAATAGCTGCGTATTCCGAACACTCCTGCGACCTCTGTGGCCGAGCGGCGGCCCCCGATGGCAGCCGATGGTTGAGTGCCGCGTACACAACACTGGTCCCCTCCTCCGCAGCATTCCTCTTTCTCTTTCTGTCTTCCTTCACCTTGCTGTAAACTTGATCTCTTGATCCCTCGGCCAACTTGTCGGGTTGTGGGTCTTTCGGCGCAGATAGACAAGCTGGCGGGGCAGAGGGGCTTGCTCTCGGCGAAGGCTGGAGGCTGCCACGTGGGGAGTGGGTCTCGACCATGGGAATTGCTGCGTGCTGCACACATCCAAGAAAGAATATTCCATTGCATCGTTGGAAGGATTTAAAATGGGATGAGGTGGATTAAAGTGTGACATTTACTGGTCTTACCTGATTTTCACTTTGTGTCTCTTTCTTTTGTTTCCCTGCAAGATTTTGACGGATCGGTTATTGTTTTCCGACTCATTGATTTGTACCGCATGGTGCCTTTATTGAATTTCTTTTAAAACAGCTCACCTTTGCAGCATCGTATTGATACAGTTAAAACTATCACTATGGTGACGAATCCCACGGTCCCAGCAGCAGAGTACACGTACATCCACATATGTTTTAGGGGCTCTGGATCAGAAGTTCTGCTATCTGTAAGGATAGGAAGGAATTCATCTCAACTTTTGTGTTTAAACGGTTTCATGATTCAGAGGAAGTTAAGCCTTACTTGTATTATTATTCGATGTGTGTTCAGCACCACCTATAAAACAACACAGGGCTATTGTTTTGAGGGTTTTTTACGACATGGAAATACAAGGGGTAAAATAAAGACTCAATATCTAATAATAATAATATTCAAGAATTTGATATCTGATATATTTTACATTCTGGATCCAGTACTGCTCTTGTGCATTTATCATACAATAGTGATTATTTCTTTTTTATCTCATCTTGATGTGAACACAGGTTTTTTAAGTCACACTCACCATGGACAGAGACGTTGATGGAGTGACCCACATCATTTCCCACTCGACACCGATACAGACCTGAGTCGCTGCTGAGTATATTTTGGAATTTCAAAAACGATACCCCCTCGGAATGGTTGACCCCTTTCCACTCAGTTTTAATGTGACTGCTACTGCTGACATTGACGTGTTGAGCTGTGTTTTCCTCCAGCTTGTACCAGAGCACTGTTGGTGCTGATTTATTACAGAATTCAACTGTGCAGTTAATGACAAGGTCTTGTCCAAGGGAGATCTCATAGGCCGTGTTGCGGCGTACGTTGATTATTGGTGTACAGTCTGATTCTTCACCTGCTGAGGAAAAATGACAATACAAGAGGATTAAAAATATATAAAAACATGTTTTATAATGAATGGTCATTGACAGTTGTTATGATCCTTACATGCCTTGACAATGACTTGATTTGAATTTGCGAACACAAATAGCTGAAGGAACAGAAAGTAAACTGCACTTCTTATGAGGAACTTTAAAACCACATCGATCAGAGGAAGGTAAGGGGGGTGTGGCACTTCCAAACTTAAAGGCTATTATCGTGCTGCACAACTTGGACCATTAGTCAAGTGGTGTGACAAGGATTATAGTGCTGGGTGGAAAGACATTGAGTGGGTGGTGGCAGATATTCCAACCCAGTCCCTGATTGGCGATTCAAAATTAATGAAGTCATTACAAGAGTCTATAGATCCAATAACTTTGCACACATTCAATATCTGGTTTGATTTTGTCAAACAATACAAAATAGGAGGAGATATAAAACAGATAAGTTGGTTTGCATTTGATGACAGATTTAAGCCAAGCTTAAGTGACCACAACTTCAGGGACTGGGGTAGGAAAGGGCTCAGAGCAATGTGTACAGTAATGAAGAAGGGACATCTAATGAACTTCCAGGAATTGAAAAGCAGTTATGGATGAGGAAACAGAGACCATTTTAGATACCTGCAGTTGAGGGATTCTTTTGTGAAGGAAATACAAACTGTAAAAACCTTGAATGGTGTAATTGAGTTAATGATTAAGACATACAGTGGCTCCACATTCAGAGCAGTTTCACGGCTGTATCGAAACATCACAGACTCAGAAGCTACCTCTGCTCTCTACATTAAGGAGAAGTGAGAGAAGGAAATGAATATTAACTTTTACTTACTCTAGAAGAATGGCAGAATATGTGTGAAACACAGCACACAACAACAAGTTCAAGACTATGGAGGGAATTAGGATTGAAAAACCTGACCCGCTACTTCATTACACTTAAATTGAAGAGTAAACAAACTGGTCCCCAACATACATGTTGGCGATTATGTGGAGAGAGAGAAGAAAATCATACACACATCTTCTGGAAATGCCATAAACTGAACTCATACTGGGGAAATGTACACAACATAATTCAAAATATTTTGGGATATGTGATACCTAGAGAATCCAGAGTGATGTACATTGGAAGATTGGATGACTATGTCCTGGACAGTATCTAACAAAAATATTATTGATAACATGTAAAAAGCAATAACACGGAACTGGTGTAGGAGTGAACCACCTACTTTAAGTCAGTGGTTAGAAATCTTAAGAGAGGTATGTACCATGGACAGAATGACCTACAAGCTGAGAATGAAGGAAAATGTTTGACACAGAGAAGAATCCTTGAAACATGACTGATCATGAATTATGTACCATATATTTGGAAAATGTATGCAGATAACCATGTTTACTATCCCTTGACTTTTTCACCTTTATTGTTGTTTTATTTTGCATTATAAAACACTTTCCTCATTTAAATTGTAAAACCTACAAAACCTCAATAAAAATTAAAGTTTCATAAAAAATCATCGATCAGTAAATAAGGTTGGAGATGAATGTTTTTTGCATGTTTATTAAATTTTTTATTACAGCTGAAATGATAATAATAAGAAGTAATCACTCGCCCACAGTGAGACATTATTAGATAATTTACATCCTGCCCACAGACCACGATAAGAACCTTTAAAGTCATAGACTCTCTCTCTCTCTCTCTCTCTCTCTCTATATATATATATATATATATATATATATATATATATATATATATATATATATATACAGAAAATAAATTAATTCACACAGTCATTACTGTTTTTAAAAGATAAGAAAATAATGCAGGTAGTTCTCATTGCAAGTGAACGAATTTAACTGGACAATCATGACCTCCGGTTTGTAATCAACACTCTTATTTTGTGGGTACATGATGAGTTACATTTGAAAACTCATCACATTGTTTTATGCATGCTTTCTTTAAAGTTTGAGAGAAAATCTGTAATTGTTTCCATCAAGCACCCACATGTGTAAAAACACTGTCTAGAGGGGTTTTTTGGGACCTGAAACTATGTTTATTTAAATTTCTCAGTTCATTTCAAAATTCCCCGATTTTAAAGACAAGTCATGCTTTTCATGCTTGAGGCAGAATCATGCAGATGGAGTTTGGCAAATAGATATATGCCTACTTTGTCTTTCCAAAAATCTGAATCCAGTGTGGACTTGAGCGCAGCACTTCTAAGTTCAACACCTTCAGAGAAATCTGGCCTCCGACCCCTTTGGAAAGGCTTCAGATTACAATGCTCTCCAGACAGAATAAAACAAGAATAAACACTGCTTCAATGGACAGAAGAACAGCGCCACAGAAATCCTGAGACAACACGATACACAAAAATTAACTTACCGCCAGCGTTTAAGGTGAGAACCAGCGCTGCCCAGAAGGACACATGCAGGGCGCTGAACCAGTGGTGAGGCCTCATGATGGGATCTCTGGTGAAGCCTCCTGTCATCTTTCGAATATGCTCCTCAAATGCATCATTATAGAGAACTACATGCTGTGACTGCACCTGCTGCTTCCTCTTTCTCTTTGCATCTTTCCCCTTGAAACGAGGGGCGTTGAATGTACTGGAGGTGAGTCAAGATCAGTGGGTGGTCTTGGTTCTGCAAATGCTGCAGGTCCAACACGGTTCACAAGGTTTCAGGCTTTCCCTGTCACTTCCTTATCATTTCTGACTATATTGTTTAAGTCCTCGCACCTTTACGTCTTCTTCTTTGCTGACAGTGTTTTCAAGCTGACTCCCCCCCCCCTTCCTCTTTCCTCCATCGTGTGCATCTGCAAACGTGCACAGCTGTGTGGTTTCAGCGGAGAATGTACAGTGCACTGAAGAGGAGAGGGGATGCTGTGGCCTCTTGAGCTCTGATGCCCACTCTGATGTTTGTTTGTGAGTGTGTGGTTACTATAAGGCAACACCTTCCGTCTTATCGACCTATGAATCTTTCAGGTTCCAAAGAGCCCTCTAATCTTAGATGACTTGTTACTGCTGTAGTTAACTTCTGGAAAAAGTTGCATCGTCATTTTTGAGAATCTAAAATGTGATTCTTATGATGTCAGGGTTGAATAGATGCGACTTGAGCTGTATTAAGGGAAAAGTAGGACCACAATATATGCCACAAAAAGTCAGGAGATCTCAACCACTTTCAGAATCAGAATCAGAATCAGAATCAGAATCAGAATTCTTTTATTTGCCAGGTATGTTTGCACATACAGGAAATTGCCTTGGTGTCGTTGGTGCACTACTTATGTACATAAAACAACAATATAA